TTCTTCTCTGTTCAAGTTAATCTTTATTGCCCATCAGAAGCTTCAAGCTTCTTTCTTCTCCCTATCGCGAACAACCAAACCTTAGGGCGGGAATGTTCTGCATCTCGAGCAGAGGCACAACCTCACGGCGGCAAGAATGGCGACAGTGTAGGAGGCGCGGCTCAAGCATGATCTCTCCTTCGTTGGCGGCTTCGTAGGTTTTTTTGTTGCGTCAGGAGACCTTCTTCTTCCCTTCTCTGCGTCAGGTTCGCGCACTATCCATAGCCTTAGAGGGTTTCGCACAGGCAGATATCCTTCTTCATCTCTTTTCTAGCGGAATGGAGCGGCAAGGGTGCGGTAATGGTGCGGCAAGGGCTTTGGCGTTTAGCGACGAGGGTTTCGTCTCCTCATGTCGTCGACCTCTACCGCCTTGCCGTCACCACTTTTGTGTTTACCTTATTCTGATTTGAAAAAGAAACCCTAAAAAGATCCTTATTCTGATTTGGAAAAAAAAAAAGCCCTAAAAAGGATTTGGGCTTGGCCCAATTTTACAGCAGATTAAACAGAAAAGAAAAAACCTAATTAAAAATTTTAAAAAAAATTAAAGAATAAAATTGTAATTTTATTTTTAACAAGTAGCGAATACCTGCGGGTACGGATAATATGATACTCAAACCCGATCCGTTAACAAGAATACCCGCTACCCGCAGATACCTTTTACCCGCGGATACTAAATACCGTAGCGGATACCTGCAGGTACGAATTTTTTTGCCATCCCTACATCGAACCCAAACCAAGAGAATATCTCCACCATTTGCACATGACATTGCATTTATCTATACAACCAAAAACAAAAATAGTCATAGCCATACTAAATGAATAGTGTCCAACCATAAGTATTGACATTTCATATATTAATTTTATTTCATTGAATTAAATTTATTTCAATTTTTTAAAATATCGTAAATTTTAAAACATAAATAAATAATTATTGATAATTTGATTTCATTAAAAATTATTTACATTAAAACATTAAATTTGTTTTCTTATTTTGTCAATTAATTAGACAAAAATTATTAAACTTATGTTATTCAAATTTCATAAATTGATTTTATTTTATTAAAATTATTTTTATTACATTAAAGTAAATTTTATTAATAGTAGTCGTGTAACCCCATAATTTAACTTTTTTTATTTTTTTAATTAATATAAATCAATTTTTAATTAATTAATTATGTTTTTAAATATATTCTAATTAATCTAAAATATATATATATATATATATATATAATTAATAAATTTTGTTTTTAAATATAATGAAATAAATATATTTGATAGTATTGTTTATATTTTTAATTAAAAGAAGTTTGTTTTTTAATATTGAAAATTAATTCATTTTGATCCAATAATCATTAATAATTGTTAAAATTATGTTATTCAAATTTCATAAATTGATTTTATTTTATTAAAATTATTTTTATTTAATTCATTATATTAAAGAAAATGTTAAAATCAAAAGAAATTAATTAATAATAATTATTTTTGATTAAAAATCATTTATATTAATTAAAAAATGAAAAAAAAAAGTGAAATTATGGGTAGACCACTTCATATATAGAAGTCGTATATCCCACAATTTCATTTTTTTTCATTTTTAATTAATATAAACCAATTTTTAATTAATTATATTTTTAAATATATTCTAAGTAATGTAAAATATATATAATTAATAATTTTTTTTAAATATAATGAATAAATATATTTGATAGTATTATTTATGTTTCTAATTAAAATAATTTTGTTTTTTAATGTTGTCCATTAATTCATTTTGATTCATTTTTTAATTAAAATTGTTATTCAAATTTCATAAATTTATTTTCTTTTATTTAAATTATTTTGATTTTGATTTCTTTTATTAAAGTAAATTTTTTAAAAAAAATTAGATAATATTTATTACAATTATGTTAGTAGAAATTTATTTTGTGTTTATGTTATACTACCCACCAAACCTGCATTCATTAGATTATATTTTCATGCGTATGTGTAATGTATTGTCTTTGTTAAAATTTTTGTAGCCTATATATTTAGGTAACTACATGCTCCTATATGTTTAGATAACTACATTTTGTGAGCATATATGTTTTTGTATCACAATAAATAATGTCATGTGCAGATTGCAATTCCAAATATTTTTATATATAGACGAAGTCTCTCCATTGTCTTCACATTACAAGTCCAAATATTTGCTACTTTTTTACAACATGTCTTTGCAATCCTAAGTATCTTCCATAAATTCTTCGTTTGTCCTCTCTCAAACACTAATTCATAATGACATCCTGAAACTTTGGAGCATCTTCGTTGTTGCAAATCATCAATGAAAAACTTTTGATATTAGATAATGTTGATGAATTTAGCTCAGATGATGAGTTGGATATAGCATATTTCGCGATGAACATAATTATGACCACCAGATGACACAGTCATCTTCACATGTTGTCCCAAAGCTGCAAGAGCGTATGTAAATTCAATCCAAGGATGACACAATTTCTGCAATCAAACCATATCACATCAACAACGAATATAAATTCAACATTGTTGAATCGAAACCTAACATATACGTTGCACGATGTCTCGAATACCACAATGGCTGCCAATGGCATTTGAGGAAAAACTATAACAAAGTTCGTCAACATTGGGAAATCAAGAACATCGATGGACTAGATATGTGTTTCTCAACCATACTATCTCAAGATTATACAAATCTTGATAGTAATCATATTGCCGCCATCGTATCAAATTTTGTGAGGACAAATCCGTCCATTCCCATCAAGAGTTTGATTGCAGACATAAAAATCGGTTTGGATATTCTATGTTATACAAAAAAACTTGAATGGCCAAACAAAAGGCTCTTGCTATAGAGTTTGGTGACTGGAAAGATTCCTATTACCATCTGCCCAGCTAGTTATATGTAGCCAAATATTCAAATCCTAGTACAATTCTCCAATGCACTGGTTCTCTAGTGGAGATTGATGGATAACCTGATAGTGATTGTTATGTTATGGAAAGAGTTTTCTGATTTTTCGGTCCTTGCATACAAGGATTCAAATATTGTAAACTCATTCTCCAAGTATATCGAACCTTTCTAATAGGAAAATATCATGAAACTTTGTTCATCGCAATCGTTCAGGATGACAATAAAAATATTTTTTCATTGCCATTTGCCATTGTAGAAAGTGAGATAAAGGAGACACTGATATGGTTCTTTCAACTACTTCGAGAACATGTTACCCCTCAACAAAGTATCTGCATCATCATTGACAGAGGAAAGGGTATCCTATCAGCCTTAAGATCATAACAAGTTGGTTGGGAAGAAAATGGTTTAAACTCCGTTTATTGCATATATCATCTAGCCTCCAACTTCAACAACAAATTCAAGAATCAGGAACTCAAACGACAATTCATCCACTTAGGTACTATGTAAATAAATTTTACTACCAATTTTCAGTTTAAATTTTGTACACAAAAGTCTTCAAATTTTTACTTTATTATATGGTCACAACTTACGAGGTTAAGCAACCCACTATGACAACAAAACTTACTGCAATGACAGACCAATTCCCCCAACAAGTAGCTTGAATAGATAAAATTCTATCAAAAAAATGGTCTTAGGCTTTTCATGGAGGTAGAAGATATGAACATATGACCACTAATCTTGCTGAATGCATGAACTCCGTTCTAAAGGGAGCACATTGATTACCAATTTGTGCTTTGATCAAAACAACATTTGAGAGGACATAGTCATGGTTTGTTAAACAGACTTAAAAGCTAAGTACATGCTACAAGTAGACCGCCAATATCTAGAAAAACTCAGTGACATTATTGGAAATATCAACAACAATCCGCATTTTGTCATGTTCACTGGTATAATCGTGAAAATTCTGAATTTGATGTTCAGAAAATTTCAACACCACACCAATATCGCCCACATCCAATTTCGTATAGTGTCAGGCTAAATGAATGGTAGTGTGATTGTGGTCACTTCCAAGCTACTCGCCTCCCATGTCATCATGTCATTGGCGTTTGTGCATATTCCCATATATCACTAACCCAATATATTGATCCAGTGTACAGTCTTCACAACATTTACAAGGCATACGAAATACAATTTTACTTCATCTGAAAGGAAAATTATTGGTCTACATATACTAGTCCAAACTTCATACCAGACCCTTAAATGCGACGCAAGACATCCCGAAGACCAACTACGACCAGAATCCATAACGAAGATGGACCAATCCACCTCAGATCAACCAAAAAAAATGCTCTTACTACCATAACAAAAGTCATCATAGGGGGACATGTCCATATCGTCAATAGTTTTTCTTTAATCTTATCTTTTTATAATCCCTTCATCAATTAATAAAATAGTATCATTATTGTATATAAATTTTCTTTTATGATTTTAATTTGTTTTCACAGTTCTAATCAATATTGTCTTTAGAATGAGATTAAAATAATTAAACAATAATAACATACATATAAATAAGTATACCAGTGTAATCAACAAACATAGCTTACATACATGGTAAAAAAAAACTCTTTACTTTAATACTAAAACTCTCTGTTAATCGATTACCAAAGACTTGTAATCGATTACTCTATAATCGATTACTAGAGGATTTTTTCTCGAATTACACTGTTGGTAATCAATTACAACCCTGTTGTAATCAATTTTGCACATTTACGCTATTGGTAATTGATTACGGCAAAGGTGTAATAGATTATAGGGCAACTCGTGCCCCCGCATGAGTTTAACACTGTGTAATCAATTACAAAATCTGGTAATCGATTACATGGACCTAAAATCGTTTTAGGAGTGCACGACTTCTTCATTTGAAGTCGTTTGAGCCCCACGACTTGCCTAAATACGCAAATTTTAAATTTTTTGCCCATATAATTTTTTTCCTATTTACGTAAAAAAAAACATGCATACAGCAAAAAAAAATGATTGAAGATGTGCATTCAACTTACAAGTGTGAACAGATTTCTCATAGGAGATTCAAAATCAGGGTGACAATATAGTGTGAATAGATCCCTCACAGGAGATTGGAAATCTGGGTACGCAACCCTGAGGCGTAATCATTTGTAATGAAGTGCCAATAAAGAACTCAACACCAATCAAACCATTTGTTGGAGCATGGAAAATGAGAATACTTAACTTGTTCCCATTTCTCACTTGTAAACATTAATTAAAAAATAAGCATTCCTAGCCTAACTAAGCCCTCCCACTATGTACATTCCACTCAGTTTTCACACCAGCTATACTTACATTACAAAAAGAATAACACCATAATAGATGAAACAAATATAATGAGCCTAACCTGACCAAACTGACTTAACCCTCCCTCATTGGACGTTTACCCTTGGGGTCTGATTCAACAGTGGCAGAGCTGGTCCCAGTGGCACTAGTAGTAACAGTCGTATAATTACTTGAATCAGAAGTGTGTGAATCGGAGGCACCTGAGGTACCCAATGTGGAAGACAATGCAGAGTGTCTTCGAGGTCTTCTGTATCTAGAACCAGGCACCCCTGGTCTGGTTGGTTCTTGCATCTGGCCTGGTTTCCTTGACAGCATCACCACCACACGCCTCATCGTGGGACGTAGCTGTGGATCACCTTGAGTGCATAACAAACCCATCTGAATGCACATCGCTACCTCTTCACCTACCATTGTACCTGCCAACGTCGGTTCCACAATTTCTAAGCTCTTCCCTTTCTTGTACATCTTGTATGCCTATTATAACCACACAAAAAACAAACCAGTCTCCATCAATTCTAGATGCAACTTGCTTATGTGGGCATGCAGTAATGGTGCTGATGTTAGGTTGGAGGTGTTAATTTTGTGAAGACTCAAAAGATCTACAATTCATTAATTAATCGGTTGATCAAAGAAAAAGTCTTCAGAACTTGCTGAAATGTCAACTAGAACAAGAAAATTCTATAAATGAGATAATAATAATAAAGTGACGGAAGTAAAGAATAGTATTAATAAAGAGTGTTACCCAATCAAGCATGCTCTGGGCGTCCACGTCCAAATTGAAAGAGGAGTTTCTTTGGCCGGTGATCAATTCCAATACCAAAACTCCATAACTAAATACATCTGCCTTCACCGATAGATTTCCATGCATAACATATTCTGGAGCCATGTATCCACTGAAAAATTCCCACGTAGAGTAATTATAATTAGTTCAGAGTAAAAAACTATAAGCCACAAACAAACTGGTCAAAACACTTGACTTGACTAGTCAGTCATATCATCAAATACGTGCAATGCAAGAGTGCCGTAGCTAATACGCCAGTTTCTTAATCTGGTGATTTGATATATTGGGAGATCCTACCGGTTGATGCCAAAAGGAATAAGCTAGAGAGCTTTTTTACATATATATTTTAGTGATAAAAATGTAAAAGTCTTATGATGAGCCCTGACAACATACTGTTTAATGTTGTTTACTTTTAAAACTATAGAAGATTTCATAAGACGTTTAAATCTAATAATTGACACTTCAGAATTTATTAATTATTATTAAATGTAAAAAATATTATATGTATATAAGTTTATTTATTTTCAACAAAGTATTATGACCGTTTAATTTTAACTTGATCTGACGATTCAAATGAAACTGTTTACCGAAATGAAAAAAATAATAAAAATATACTTGAATTCAAATTTCAAGAAGATTTTTATAAAATTTTATTTCAAGTCCGTTATTTATTTATAGTAGTTGATAATGTTTGATAAAATAAATACTTCTGTACATTATCAAAAAGAGAAAATTAGTAAGGTTAAGAAAAACGAGTTTGCAATGATATTACGTTTTTTTTTTCGTTTTTTAAATTAGCAATAAGATATGGACTAATTGGCATGTCCGAATTTTTATCATGTTATTTTATTTTATAAAGTTAAAATTTAATCATTATTGATACGTAAATGTGTATATTAATTTATATTTTTAAATATATCTATCTATATAATTTAATTATTGTTGTTTCGTTTAAATTTAATAATATTATTTAAAAAATTTAAGATTACAAAAATTTGAAGTCAATAATTGGATAAGAACTTACAAAGTATAAAAAATAAAATAAAAAAGATAAGCGGTGGGAGGGAATCAGTTTTTCAAGTTACTTGGAAGGGGTACCGCAGAAAATAAATAAGTAAAGTGATTTATATAATTAAAGGGTATATTTGAAATTAAAATACGTAGAAAGAAAATGAGCTCACTTTGTTTGTAGTTATAAATATTAATGTTACCTAATTATGTTATTTCCGCTACACTGCCCATGATGATATTTTCAATTATCTTTTCTTATTATTCTTTCAGGTTGCATATATTTTTAACTTGTACGGTTAATTATTTTATTCACTTTAGTTTTTCTTATCTAATACGTTCTAAACCCTAATTTTTATGCCATTTTAAATATAATTAAATTGCACAGTTTTATGTAATAGTTATTTTCCTCATCATAAAAAGCTCATGTATGATTGAGCCTAAAATTGAATCATTCAAACTTTTGAGTTGGATCCTTGGCAAAAAAATTAATTATTTTATTAAATTTCACTTATCTTTGTACCAAATCAGATTAATCTAATAGATGAGGTTTGTCCATTGAATAAAATTACGTAAGAGTGTCAAGTTTCTTCACTAAATTATAATAATCTTGAATTACTAACTAAATTCGTCTAAAAAACAACCGAGCGAGAAAAAAAAAGTATCCTTAATAAAATATAGGTTTAATTGCTTCCTTTGTCCCCAGTTTGGTTGAATTGTGTCAAATTCATCCTCATTTTTAAAAAAGTTTCATTGTCGTCCTCACGTGGTATAAAAGTGTCAATTGAATCCAAACATAGAAAAAATTTGTGTCAAAGTAGTCATTTTTCCTATATATCTGTGTCTTCCTTTCATATGTCACTTCTCTGGAGCTATGAAAAGCCTTAAATTGGATAAGGTAAAATGAATATCTGTACTTGATTGTATGAAAGGAAGACACAAAGATATAGGAAAAATGACTACTTTGACACAAATTTTTTCTATGTTTGGATTCAATTGACACTTTTACACCACGTGAGGACGACAATGAAACTTTTACACCACGTGAGGACGACAATGAAACTTTTTTAAAAATGAGGATGAATTTGACACAATTCAACCAAACTGGGGACAAAGGAAGCAATTAAACCTAAAATATACTACCTGATACCAAAAAACGTGGAAATGATCCAAACTAGTGTGTATGCGAATGAAGAAGTCGTATTAAATTTTGTTTGGCTTTATTCCCAGGTGCAACATGCGATTATTTATGCAGAAACATATTCAAAATTTGGTAGAAATCTTTTGAAAAAAAAATAATAATAAAAATAAAACGAGAGGCAAAGGCAAGGCTTACTTGGTTCCAGCCACACGTGTGTTGACTTGGGTCTGATCTTCGGGGAAGAGACGAGCCATGCCAAAATCTGCAATCTTGGGCGTCCATTTGTCATCAAGCAAGATATTACTGGCCTTGATGTCGCGATGGATGATGCAATTGTGTGAGTCTTCGTGCAGATAAAGTAAACCCTTTGCCACGCCTGTGATTATGCCCAACCTACGTTTCCAATCCAGCTTCTCTCTCTTTTGTGATTCTGCATCCATTTCAACTTACCACTGTTATAAAAATAACAATTCACTGATCAAAACAACATCAACATCAACATCAACAAAACACAACCTCAATTCTTCCTCCTAAATTCCCCAATCAACATTTTGTTATGTTTCGTGCTATTAGTGACAACCACAACAAACAATCTAGAAACAAAGAGTTCATTTCCATATACTATCCTTCCTAGAAAGTGGATGCCTAATCCAAATTTGAATGTTCCTCTGCTAACAACTCTCAACAACTGCTACTACTTTTCATTCATTACCACATGTGCATGATTCTAAAGGTAAACAAAATCCTAGGGATGCTTCATGCAACAAAAGTCCTCATGCCATGTCATAGCTTAGATAATATGAATTGGAGAGTTTCATTGTAAACATTCTCTTATCAATACGGAAAAGTCAAGGTCTCTTCTAGAGTTTCTTCAGGTTCAGCTATCTTTGTTACACAAAGTTTCTTCAGACTCGATTACTAAATTCTAATCAGTTTTCTCCCGGAAATGGTGAAGAGCATAAACGACACTGATCGGGAAAAATGAGGAATTGAGGATGGGTTTGAGATGATTTGATGAATGAATGAGGAGTGGCATTGAAGAAGCACTCACTGAAAAGAAACTTGTCTAGACTTTCATGAGCAACATACTCATAAACAAGTAGCTTTTCGTTGCCATGGACACAATAGCCCACCAGATTCACCACATTCCGATGCTGCACACGAGCCAACAACTTGGCCTCGTTCATGAACTCTTTCTTCCCTTGATTTGAACTGTGTGATAACTTCTTCACAGCAATCTCTCTCCCATCATTCAACTTACCCTGCAAACAAACCCAAATTCCACTAATCACAAACACGTTGAATACAATAGGGAGCATTTTTATTTTCGAGAATTTTCACAAAAGGGGAAAAGCAAAATACTAGAAAAACATCAAGTCCTTGAATCCAACCTTTAATTTGGAATAGAGAACTAGGTTTGGATTGAATTTCAGAGAAAACATGAACCAGAACAAACCAATTAAAAGCTTCTTGATTTTTATTATACCTTGTAGACAAGGCCAAAACCTCCCTCGCCTAGCTTGTGAATATCACTAAAATTCTTGGTGACAGAAGCCAAGGTTTCGTAGGCAAAAATCTTCTGCTCTTGCGCAGCCATTTTCTGTATGTCAGCTTCATCGCTTCCCTCTGACCAAACACAACAGAGCAGAAACAGAATTCTGGTAAAATCAGACAACTCGTCTACCAGAAAATTAAACGTTTTAAACAGATATTGAAGAGAATAGAGAGGAATTACCTTTACTGGAACCGAATTTGAAGTGTTTAACGAAACTGCGAAAAAAACTGTGAGTGTGAGACTTGTCCTTGTCCCTGTCCATGGCGGTGTGTAATGAGAATGTCTATGGTTCCAGATTTCAAGAGATGCCCATGAAACGGAAACGGGAACAGGAAAAGAGGAAGTATAGATTGAAGCAAAGTTGTGATCTTTTGGGGAAAATGAAAAATGGGTTCGTGGGGAAACTAGAGTTGGAGGAGAAAATTGAGCTTTTGTTGGCACAGAAGAACAAATAAACAATGGAAAAGAAGAGAGAAGCGTGTTGCACTCGTTGAACTTTCGATTGACTCTGTTACGGTATGAATTTTTTCTTCAATAAACTCCAAAAAAAAAAATTCCTCCAATAATATTCATGATACTAGATCTATTTGGTTTATAAAGGGAAATCTGGTCTCAACGTTATTTCCTAACACGAGTGTTTTTAATATTTTTGTTACTTTTTCCTTCTGGAAATAAATACACTATGCAAGACCCAAATTTGGAGTCTTCTTTTATTTAATAGATTTCAGATACAAATTTCCCAAATTAAATTTATTCACGTAAGAAATACTTTATAAAGATTATTTTAAAATATGTATAAAATACTAAATTAGAAAAATAAAAATATTTTTAAGAAAATTTGAACATTATTAATATTAGACAATAATTTTAGTAATTAAAATAAATGTTGATATAAAATATTAAATTTTAATGCAATGATTTAAAATATTAATAAAATGAATACCTAATTTCTTTTTCCTAGTTTTTCAGGTTTTTCAATTTAAAGTTATGAATCTTTTCACAAAATGTTAAAATGTTTTTAAAATATTTATTTGAAAAAATGCATATAAATTATTAAGCAAAATTAATAGATAGATTGCACGGTGAATAACTAAATTAGTTTTTAATATATGCGATATTAAAGAGAGTGATGTTTTTAATAAATTGATTAATGTGATATTATTATTTATACATAAGGAACTACTAATATAAAAAAATCTTATATATATATATATATATAAGTTTTTTTTATATTAGTAGTTCTTTATGTATATTAGATCGGATGAGCGTTGTGTAGGGAAAGTGTGTATATCTTGTTGGTCTAAGTATCAGTAA